AGGCCCCCGAGAAGCCCCGCAACGGACACGGCGAAAGAGGAGGACGAACCTACAACAAAGACACGACGGCAGCAAGACGGAAAATGGCAGGCAACACACGAAATCGGAAGCCGCACGTGTCCTCTTCTGGGGGTCGGCGGAACGGCGTCAGCCTCCTGAATAAATAGATCCTCCCTGTCGCACCCCCAGACTTGTCGTTGGGCTGACCGGGTGTTTCGCTTGAGACCTCCTCACAAAGTAAGATCCTGAAGCTTGAAGCTTGCACGAGTATCGAGGATGGAGGGCGGGTCGGTTTCAGAATATGGCTTTCGCCTTGGCGCCCCGTACAACTGTCTTGAAAGTTCGCAGCAGCTTCAAGGATGTCGCTCGCGCCCTAGCGCCGCGCACAGTCGCCTTACAAAATTTGCAGCAATGTCGACGATGGAAGGCGGTTCCTTCTCAAACTGTGGTTCTCGCTTCCGCCTCGGGAACATTCGCCTTAGAAGTTCGCATCCGTTTCGAAGACGGCAGGTGGTTCCTTTTTCAAAACGAAGCTCTCACCGTAGCCTCGCGTGCAGTCGTCTCAACGGCCTGCAGCAGCTTTAACGATGGAGGGCGGTTGCCTTTTCAAATGTGGCCCTCGCCTTGGCACCGCGCAACATTAGTTTTCAAAGTCCCCAGCATGTTCAAAAAAGGGGCACGGGTAGCTTTCAAAATGGCTCTCGCCTTAGCGCCGCGCACACTCGTCTTGAAAGTTTGCAACAGTTTCACAGATGAAGGGCACATCTCTCGTCAAGTGCCCCGCGCACATTCAGTTAAAACCTTGCAACAGATGTAGGGACTGAACACAAGCCGTTTCCGAAAAGTGGCGCTCGCCACATCAGCCGCGCACATTCGCTGTTCCTAACAATTAGAAGTATGAGGCACTGCCCTTTTTCAACATGGGGTCTCGCTAGAGACTCCCTTTTTAAGTTCAAGACCAGGAGCTTCATCACACGCGGCACTGCACTGATGCAGGGCGGCTGCTTTTCTGACCCCAAGCATAACCTTGTGCCACAACTACTACGATGGAAGGGTCGTTTTTCGACAGGGTGATCCGGCTGGACACCTCGCGCATATGTATAATCTCATCCTCGGCTTCTTGCCAAGGGCACAAAGCATGCTCCCAACACGGGTGAGCTCCCTCCTTTAGAAAGTCTGATCTTTGCCTGGACCGCAACGCTTGGAGGCGGGCGCTGAGAGAAGCCTGTAGAGCCCTGACTGGCAAGTCTGTCGAGCGGTGCAGGCACATGATCTTGTTATGATGATGCCTGCTCTGATGGCTTTGGGGAATGTTCAGGAACGATGCGCTTCGCCCCAGGCAACGGCTCCTCAGCATACGTGAAGCGATGATGGAGGTGGGCATGCAGGAGGGCGGAGGAGTGATGGCAAATCGTGCTCAGACGGATGCCGAATCCGTTGCACAGATTGCGGGGATCTGGTCAGAACATCTGGTCAGCCCCCTGGTCACACACCCAGGGCATCTGGGAAGCCAGGGATAGAACATAGCCCGCACACGCTGCGAGCACAAATGAGAGGGCGGTGGAGATCGGCAGCCTGCGAGGCCATGAAACGCATGTGAGGAGGCCCGCTTTAGGCGACTGATCTCTGTACACGACGAGCCCGCCACGGGCGCCGACTCTTGCTTCCTCCCAAACAGTACTTGCACTTCGGGCTTCCTACTTCTCTTCTGAGGAACTGCGCCTGAATGGCGGCCTGGCGACTATGTGCTCGCCGTCGTCGCCTCGTCGCCGCCCGTCGTCTGGGCCTGGGTGGCGGTCTGGCGGCTATGTGCTCGCCGTCGCTGCCCCGTCGCCGCCTCGTCGCCGCCCGTCGTCTGGGCCTGATTGTCGGACTGGCGGCTATTTTGTCACCGTCGCCGGCCCGTCGCCGCCTAAATTGCACAACGTGTATTGCACCACACATATTCTCCTGTCTAACAGAATAGTATGATATATTCTCACCCTGGGCTTTACTACCCTCCCTGGGACAATACGATATACATACGACTCAGCCCATCGTTCATTCCAAATATGAACTCACAATACCCCGCGCGGCCCGCGGGGTGTCATTATCGCCTTCCCGGTCTCATCAATGCTGGATAAAACTATACCAAAAAAAAACGTTTAGTTGTATATCGCAGAACTGCGCGCGCGTTTGCAGAAAACTCCGAAAACCATCCGTGTTTCAACATGTTCATCAACTGCGACCAAGCGAGCCTTTCGCGCGCGCATGTCGAAATCACTCGAATGTCCTTGCGCGCTTGTGGGGCGGGCACGATATCTGTCAAATAATACCACGTTGGCCACCCGCGCCCGTCGGCTGCGCGCGCATGTCGAAACCCTCCCAAAACCTTCATCACCGACACGGAGACACCATCATCGTCATCGGCGTGATCAGCATCGGCGCCGTCAATGGCCTTACCATCGTCATCGTCACCATCGTCAACAGCATCGCTACTATCACCATCACGTCTGCCGTTGTCGACGTCTTCATGGTACTGCGCCCGCCCGAGCCACCAACTCGCATGGACGTGCCCGCGCGTCAGCGCGGTCTGCGAGACACGTTGGGAAGTCCCCAGCGGTCAGCGCCACCGCGGCCGCGTCGGTCGCGCCAAACTAGCTAACCACTCTGCGCGCGAGCCTGCGCGCGCTGGCGCGGCCGCAACGATGGGCCAGCCAGTGCCAAGCTGTCATCGCAATCGCAGCCGTATGGGTTTTGCAAGCCACGTTGCGGATAGATGGGTGGGATGATTGCGCGCAGCGGGTTTGACAACTTCAAGCTCTGCAAGGTGAATTTCACCACATAGTTTACACCACATAGATTGCACCACATAGATTGCACAACATAGACTGCACAACATAGACTGAACCAATAGATTGCACCGCATAGACTGCACCACATAGATTGCACAATTTAAATTGCACGTCAAGTGCACCGCAAACATCGCGCACCACATAGACTGCACCGCATAGATTACACCACATCTAGTGGACCACATAAGTGGCGCCGCACAGATTGCACCGCACAGGTTGTACAACATAGATTGTACCACCTGTACATGGCACAACCTAGACCGCTCCAAAATCTATTGATTGCAAACGTTTGGGGCCCACGCCGGCCAACAAATTGCGCAGCGTGGGCGGCTCGCGGAAGTCGGCGGCTCGCCGGGCGAGCCGCGGCGGCAGGCCGCGGGTGGAACGCGGAGGGGCCGCGGGTGGATCGCTGAGCAGGTCGCGGGTGGGCCGAGGGACGGGTCGCGGGCGGGTCGAAGGGCGGGTCGAAGGGCCGACTGCGGGGCGAGCCTGGAGCTCGGCACGCGGACGTCCCCGAAAGTCCGCCCGGGGCGGCACTGCCGGGGGCGTGCAGGACCGGCGAGGCCGACGGCGGGGGGGAGGGGCCAGCAGCACCCACGGCACCGCTCTGCGCCGCAGAAGCGCACCACGGCCACGCACGCAGGGGACAGCACGAGGCCGCTCGGCCCCCTCGCTCGGACCATGCACCAGGGCTGGGCCCAAACGTTGTTTTTCGATTTGTGCTCGTTTTGTTGTTCGTCTTGCTCTGCCTGTTTCCCTGCACCTCCCTGCCAGAGCGAAAGACAAAGCACAGACGAAGTCCAGCAAACAAGCGTTTTAGGTCCAGCCCTGTCACACACCTGCCCTGTCCCTCCGGGCGCTCGATGCCGTCTCGGCCTGTTGCCAGGCCCAGGCCTAAAAAAGTGGAGCCCCCTCGCCAAAAAAGCATCCAGTTGCCAGGACCAGGGCGAGTAGTCGGGCACTGAAGAGCGTGGATACCCCAGCGGCCCCGTGCGCCTCAGATTCAGGTGCGCGGGGTTGAAGAAGGAGTGCGATCTTCGATACTTCACATACAAGAAGTGGCCGCAATTCGGTATGAGCATCACGGCGTACATCGACCACTGGTTCGACCACAGAATGAAATGTACCAGAGTCGCGTTCAGAAGCAGCAGCGCCGCTAACACTAACGCCTCGAGACAGATGCACCAAATGCAGCTGAAGAGCACGGTGGCGAAGAGAGAAACAACCGAAGAGTTCTACGCATGGGGTGGCAGAGAACGACAGCTACACCGAGGGGGCGAGAAGAGGGTAAAGATCAGGATGGTCTTGCTGTGGCGAAAGAATCGGGAGCGGCCAAGAGGGGGGTGTCCAAGAGGGGGGGGTGCAAATCATGACCGTCGGCATGTGCGCGGACCAGCGGAGGGGCCAGGGACGTAATGACATAAGAAGAGGCGCCATGAAATCTGGGGAAATATCATGGCCCACGCCATGATATCCAACCCCCCCTAGTCATCACCCCCCTCTTTTCCGCCCCCGAAAGAAAGAAGATCAACGATGAACGCATGCGACAGCACATGCGGAGAGGAGGCCGAGAAGGAAGAGGTCCCCATCGCCCTTGAGAATCGCCCGGCGAGTGGCAAGTCTGCCACCGTGCCCCCTGGCACGCTGAGGCGTGGGAGAATGCCGAGTGCTGACTGGTAGGGTTTCTGTGCAAGTATAAGGACCTCCCTCCTCCTCCTCCTCCTCCTGCTGCTGCTGCTCCTCCTCCTCCTCCTCCTCCTCCTCCTCCTCCTCCTCCTCCTCCTCCTCCTCCTCGCCTCCTCCTCCTCCTCCTCCTCCTGCTCCTCCTCCTCCTCCTCTTCCTCCGCCTCCTCCTCCCCCTCCTCCTCTTCCCCCTCCCCCAACGGACTGCGGCAGGCATCCCCCCCCCTCGTCCGAGGTGCCCCAGACGCCCCGACGCACGCCCCCCTGGCGCTCTCCCCTGGGCGTCCGAGATGTGCCGAAGATGGCATCCAAGACAGCTCGGGCGGCAAGCTTCCAAGGCCGCCAAAAGACGGCCCAAGATGCCCCAACATACAGTGGAGGCTAGTCCACAAGAAACCTTTCACAAGAAACCCAACCCTGAGACCCCAGGACGTCCACTGATTCTTGGTGCGGGAACGTCACGCTCGCTTCCCATAGCAAAATCATCGAAATCCAAGAAATCCAGGGCACCCTGGATGCAAGCAGGATGTTTCTTGGCATGGGCCCCCACTGTACTGTCTGAGAGAGCCTCAAGACGGCCCAAGATGGCCCCAGGACTGCCGAAGAGGCTCAAGACGGCCCAGAGAGGGTTCGAAGAGAACCTCCAGCAGGGCCCGTTGTCATCAAGCTCTTGATGGATGTTCGCCTGTGTTCGGGCTTCCGTGAGCTCAAGATGGCCCCACGACGGCCCATGAGGGCCTCAAGATAGCCCAAGAGGCCTCCCAGACGGCCTCAAGACAGCCCAAGAGGGCCCGTGGACCAAGCTGGCCCAAACGGGTCTCCAGGGGGACTCAAGACGGCCTGAAGAGGACCCCATGGACGGCCCAAGACGGGCCCAAGACGGCCCCGAGGGACCTCGAACACTTCCCCACAAGAGCCCAGGAAAGCCCCAAGACGGCCCAGATGAGGTCGATGAGGGCTCTTCGAAAAGTGAAGACACGAGGTGACACATGCGACGGCCATCTTACTCATCCTCATCACCTCCACCAGCCCTGTCCTAGGCATCCTCCTCGTCAACACCAACACAAGCATCGCCACAGCGTAATCATCATAATAATCAGCAACATCAGCATCATCATCATCATCATCATCATCATCAGCAGCAGCAGCATCATCATCATCAGCAGCATCATCAGCATCATCAGCATCATGAGCAGCAGCATCATCATCAGCAGCAGGATCAGCATAAGCATCATCATCAGATCACAATCATCATCAACAGCAGCATCGTCATCATCGTCGTCATCATAATCGTCATCGTCATCGTTCAGCATCGTCATCGTCGTTAGCACCGTCATCATCATCAGCAGCAGCAGCAGCCTCAGCATTGTCATCATCATCATCATCATCATCATCATCATCATCACCATCGCCACCACAACCACAATCACCACCACCAGCAACGCCATCATCATCATCATCATCAGCAATAAAGATAAGAATGAGTATCATCATCAGAATCATCATAAGCGTCATCATCATCGTCATCATGATCATCATCATCACCACCACCATCATCATCATCATCATCATCATCATCATCGTCATCACCAGCATCATCATAAACAACATCACCATCGTTGTCATCATCATCACCATCGTCGGTTGTATCACCGTCTTCACGGTCATCGCCATCGCCATCATCATCGTCATCAGCAACATCGCCATCGTCGTCATCAGAATCATCCGCATCGTTTGACTGGTCAGCATGATCATCAGTAGCAGCATCAGCATCATTACCAGCAGCACCATCATCGACAACAGCGAACACAACAACAACCAAAACAACATCGTAATCGTCAGCAGTATCGTCAGCGTCGTCATCGTCGTAACCATAAGCATCACGCCACAAGCATCATCCTCATCGTCATCATCATCACCAACAGCGTCAGCAGCATCAGCATCAGCATCAGCATCATCATCGTCCTCATCATCATCATCATCATCATCATCATCATCGTCATCATGACCATCCTCATCATCAGCAGCATCATCATCGCCGTCGACATGCTCATCGTCATGATCATCATCATCATCATCATTATCGTCGTCATCATCATCAGAATCATCATCATCAACAGCGTCATAATCATCAGCATCATCATCATCATCATCATCATCATGGTCGTCATCATCATTATCATCATCAGCAGCATCATCAAAAGCGTCACCATCATCATTATCATCATCAGCATCATCATCATCATCATCATCATCGGCCTCATCATCGTCATCATCATCATAGTCATCATGACCATCCTCATCATCATCATCATCATGAGCATCATCATCACCGTCGTCATGATCACCGGCATGATCATCATCATCGTCGTCATCAGCATCAGAATCATCATCATCATCAACAGCGTCATAATCATCAGCATCATCATCATAATCATGGTCGTCACCAGCATCATCACCACAATAACCAGTATCATCATCATTATTGACACTGTCATCCTCAACATTATCACCACCTCATCACATCGAAACCCAACCCATCATCATCCTCATCATCGTCGTCGCCGTCGTCGCCATCGCCTTCATCATCATATTATTCAAACCCCTCGTCCGGCACAGTCTCCCTCCTATTCCTGGTGTCGTCATCTCCTTATCTTCTCATCGTCATCATCATCATCATCGTCGTCATCATCATCATCATCATCAGCATCACCATCATCATCATCAGCAGCAGCATCCGCATCGTCATCGTCATCGTCGTCGTCTCATCATCATCATCATCGTCATCATCATCATCAGCAGCAGCAGCAGCAGCTTCATCATCATAATCAACATCATCATCGATTCGGGCAGATAACTCTGAGAATTCTGGACTGGCAGTGGCGGGACTTGCCGCAGGCAGCTGGATACTATTACTTGTTACCGATCCCGACAACTGCAAACAAAGGTTGTGCGATATGGCCGACCAGGTCGCCCAAAAAGCCCCAAGGACGGCCGAAGTGACCCCAAAGATGGCCCCCTGACAGCCCAGTGGCGGCCAAAGATGCCCAATGAGGCTTCGAAGGTGGCCCGACAACCCCTCCAAGATCTCCAGGAGGGCAGGAAGAGGCCCCTAAGAACGCCTCAAGGGCACCTGACGTCATCCGAAGAGAGCCCCAACGATGCTTTCCCAAGCGCAGTGGCGGATATGCGCGGCAGCGCCACACGGTGCTCGGCGGCATGTCCACATCCAAGCCTGTTTCAAACACAGTGCCAACTACTCTGCTGCCGATACACACCGACATGTATTTACACACATATTTGTAAATTAATATTTATATATATATCAGCCTGCCAGAGCCTTCCCCGCCAGCAGAGACCTTTTTTCTGTGTGTGGTCGGAGGCGATCCGCCTCAGCTGGAGGCATGGCGAGCCGACGGCACCTGTTTGATATCATACAAGGGCCACTGCACGCACACACACACATAGCGCTGAGAGAGTCGAACGGGGCAGCGAGAGCCAAGGGAGGGGGGGAGAGAAGACTATGGAAGCGTTGTACCGCTTGACGGCGGTCGGGCTTGCCTAGATGATTCACGTGCGAGCACTTACATCAGCCTGCCAGAGCCTTCCCCGCCAGCAGAGACCTTTTTTCTGTGTGTGGTCGGAGGCGATCCGCCTCAGCTGGAGGCATGGCGAGCCGACGGCACCTGTTTGATATCATACAAGGGCCACTGCACGCACACACACACACCAAAACTATGGAAGCGCTCACGATGCCAGAAATACTACTGGCCTACAGGCCGAATTCATACAAAGCGAGGGCTCTTTTGTTGGCAATGGCATTAGCGAAACATTGACATAGCTTAGCACACATCTTGCTGGGGTAAGGTTCGGCGATAGACGTCAGAAACTTGTTGTCCTGCCTACCGCATAAAATCATATGAGGCTTACCAGTACGAGTACAGATTCCTTTACACGAGCGGCACCGTCTCTCGGCATCGCTCAGGTCCACAAAAAGAGAAACAAAACGGGTTCGCTTTCTCCACGGCTTTCCCCATTGACAGAAATCGGTGACGAATTCCCGGGCCTCTTGCCACTGTCTTATGCGGAGGAAGGGGGGAGAAACCCAGAGGCGCGAGGAGTGGGGGTTCTCAAACACTACTGGGATGCGCAACCGTTTGCACAGCAAAAAGATGGAGTGGCAGAACCTCAACATTGCATTACCCTCATTGACTTTTCTTTGATCTGCGGGCGAGAGACCGGGCAGGCCCATCACGTGTTCAGCACTTCTCAAGGCGGGCGGCCCGCTGTTGTCTGACCTGCGGGCGGAAGACCAGCTTGCACAGAGAAGACCGATCCAGACTGCCCGCACCATGCCTGCCATGAGCCATCCACGGATAAGCTTTTGATTGCTCGGCTTCAGCAAATCGAAACGGTCGCCACGCATGATGTCCCATTCGAAGATGGGTATTCCTCTCAAGAAAGACGACTGGCGCCACGCTTGTGA